GCCCCTTGAGCCCTTATATTGTTCGGTCTGTTCCTGGATGACTTCGAGTCCGGGCTGGTGCAACAGGCTGCGGCCGCGGCTCTGCCTCGCTGGCAGAGCGGGGAGTGCGTGCCGCCATTATTTTACGCTGATGACCAGGCCTTGCTGGCCACCACGCCGGCAGGCCTGCGTTTCCAGCTTGGTTACCTTGAGAGCTACTGTGCCGCCTGGGGCCTGACGGTTAACACCAAAAAGACCCAGGTGGTAGTGTACACCACTGGCAGGGCTGCTGCCACGGAGGAGCGGTTCCGCTACGGCGGCAATGAGGTGGAAACCGTCCCCACCTTCAGATACCTCGGCGTGCACCTGCACTGCCGGCAGGCCTTTGCCTCGGCGGCATCGTATCGGGCGGAGGCTGGGCGGCGCGCGATGCACCTGCTGCGTCGCCGCCTGGCCGAGAATGGGTTGCAGGACCCCCTGCTCAGCATGCGTGCGTTCAAGTCTTACGTCCTGTCGACGTTGTCGTACGGGGCAGAGATCTGGGCGCCGCAGCTGATTCTGCAGGGCAGGACGGCATGCGAGCGGGTACAGCTGGAGTACCTGCGAGGGCTGCTGGGTTTGCGGGACAGCACCCCAGCCCTCATTGTGCTGGCAGAGACGGGGCAGCTGCCGCTGCCCGCCTACTGGACCTTGCAGGTTGCACGCTTTGTGAGCAACCTGCAGGCTATGGGCGGCGAGCGGGTCGCCCGTCTTGCCATGCTGGATAGCGTTGCGCTGGCTGCCGACACGGACACAGGGCTGCCACTGGCCCGGCAGCCCTGGGCAGCGCAGGTTAGCCGCGTTCTCGCGGCGGCCGGCGCCCCCTGCGACTTGACTGCTGACGAGGGGGTTGCCATACCTGAATTGGCGGAAGCGCTCCTGGAGCGCCATGTTGCCTCGTACACGCATGCATCCGTGAAGGTGCAGCGGTACATTGAGGACGTGTGGGGGGGCAGCATCTCTGCGGAGGCCTACACGCCTGCGTCGTTCCTGTGCGATGTGCCCGAGCGCCGGCGCCGGGTGCGCCTGGCGCAGTGGCGCACGGGGTCGCACTGGATGGCTGAGGAGACAGGCCGGTGGCAGCGGTTGGACCGCACCCAGCGCCCATGCCCCCACTGCCAGGCCCCTCTAGAGGACGTACGCCACGCAGTGTATGACTGCCCCCTATACGCTGGGCTGAGGGAGGAGTATGCGTGGA